TCTTAATACACTTTATTAAGGCTTGTAGTGCGGAAAAAAACATTGTAGCATCTCTTTGTTTTAGCAATCGCTTTGTATGAATTTTGAAAGTATTCCACATTGTTTGAATTACGTTTGGACTCTCCTCACTTATTGGTCCTCGAGATTGATGCTCCACCCACACACAGACAGAGCCTTCATGTTTGCACATGCTGTCTTGTAGCACTGATGTGAATGATATTGGGTGCTTCAATGGTCATTTAGGGAAATTTTGTGCAGCACAACGGCACCAAGGAGGAAGATGGGCTGCAGGTTCAGGAAAATTCGAAAGATGCAGGATCTGGTAGAGGTGAAATTTTTGCTGATAGCCTTGAATCCTGTAGAGGTCATGCCAATGGGTCACGGCAAATGAGGGGACTTTGTAAATCGGAATACCGGCTGCTGGCACATATCAGGAATGCTAATTCTCACTGCCTGGTCCCAGGTGCATTGTGAGCCGGTTCCTGCATTTCTGGTAGCTGCAGCACCGCTTGAAACGCGGTGAGGACCCGCATTTGATGACAGATGTGTCTGGACCTTAAAATCTTGAGTCTAGATGGGTGACGTTCTGCTTCAGGACACTGATCTGCAGTCGCCCATCTCGGCACACGGAACGCTGATTGATGGATGGTTGGAAGGCAAGGTGGATGCAGGTTGTATCTTTGAAGCATGTGGGGAAGTGAAGGGAGCAGCTGTGCCTGTGATCAGAAGGTCACTAGTTCATATCCCAGAGTCAGCAAAGTGATGTCACCATTGGGTCCCTGAGCAAGGCCCCTAACCCCCTAGTGCTCCAGGGACCGGCAAACCCTCCTTTCTCAAAAGTATATATCACTTTGGATAAAAGCTTCTGCTAAATAAATAAAGTGTAAAATGGTTGGGGGTGTGTGTACTGAGTTGGAAATTGCATGTATGAATCCTGACGGTTATATGTGATGGGTGTGTTTGCGTGACGTCGTATCCTTTGGAGGTAGAGGAAAGGCGGCTTTTATTCTGAAGCAGCACAGCTGGGAGTTTGGGGAATTGGCCCTTCTGTCGGGAATCTGGCTGTTTCTGCAGTGTTCTGTCCTCTGTGATGTTTTAAGAGGAAAAGGCGGAACACCCAGGACTCCCCGGCACGGGCCAAAGTCTCTACTTCTCTGTGTCCTTCTGCAGTGCTCTTTAATTTCTCCTCTGTGACATTTAGCTGCAAGCAGAAACGTTTGCTTGGAAATAGCAGACGGACTGAGCTGAGGGTAGGCAGCGGCCTGATTACGGATCTAAAGTCATGCCGTTCGCCAGTCATGGGACTGGGATCCCTCTGTAACAGAGCAGGGTTCGGTATGATGATGCAAAAATGTCTGCATGACGCCAGTGGCTACGGTAGAGCAGAGTCGGCTTTTTGATTTGTTTTGGGGGTTAGAGGTGCGAGGGCTTGACGAGGCAGGGTGCGATAAACACAGTGGGGGTCACCTTTCCGGTTAAAGGTGTCTGAATCACTCAGACCACTTCTGTGCCTAATCTGGCCCTGAAGCTACACTGTAGCACAACGCTAATCTTTTAAAATTGATATCCTCCCCCCGCTCCTCATATTACCTGTCCATTAAGGGAGCTGGTGGGGGGGGGTGCTGAGCTGGGTGATTAACGTGGGGCGGCAGACTAGCGGTGCCGGCCGCTCCTTCCTTATGTTCCCCGCGACCTGATTCCTGACCTGGTTCTGGCAGCGGTAAATACAGCCGCTACAGTGTTGCTTCTCCTCTTGGTCAGTTTCTCACTCTCTTCCTGTTTTCTCATCTCTCTCTGCGTCGCTGCCGTCCCATTCAAGCACGATCTGCGTAATTTATTCATAGTATTCATGGTGCAGTTTCTACATCTTGCTTCTCCACCTCCACCTCCTCCTCCTCCTCCGAAGGCCACTTCTCTGTTAGCCAAAAGCTGCCTTTCCTTTTGGGAGAAGATGATCTGTGTCTGGGAACCTCTCAAACGCCGCACTCAGGGTGATGTGGTTCAGGTGGGGGCATCTGATTTCTCTACACTGCCAGAAAAAAAGGTGCAGCCCTGGTACAGTTTTGTTCCCCAAGGCATAAACAACCCTAATGTATCCCCAATGGTATTGAAATGTTTCTCAGAGTCCATTTCTGTACCTTAAATTAGACCAGGAAACAAAGGTACACTTACCCACAGCAAGGGTACGATTGGCAGACTACAGCCCCAGTGACAAGTAATTGTACCCTCAAGGTACAAATTGGTACTTTTTTCTGACAGTGTACGTTCATGTCGATACCTCAAGTAGTCGCTGTGGTTCCTCCTCAAGGTGTCGCTGTGGTTGCTTCTTAAGGTGTCGCCCAGCTCTGAAGGATGTGCATGCGGACAGCTCACAGACACTCTCAGTCAGTAACAATGTCATTCCGAACTTTCAGCCCAAATAAACCTCTTCGTTCTCCTTCTCTCCTGTGAGATGTCTCATTACGAACAGTCATCCATCACTGTGGTCTATGAACTTCACTATGAACCTTCAGATCTCTCCATCTCACTCCTTCTTTCAGTACCTCCCTTGCTCCCTCCCTCTCTCTCCCTCACTCTCTCTGTTAGCACGCAGCCCTTTTCTTCTCTACCCCTGTCTCTGCTCTGGCCATCTCTGGGGTCCCCTGGGTGGGCCTTCCTGATTTTGATTTGATTTGGGGAGGTCATGTGACTGTTGGCGATGAAAGCGAGGATCGGGAATTTCTTCTGGAGGAGTGTTTTTCGTTTACTTTGCCATCCTCCTGCAGGGATGAGGTGGTCATTATTGGGTCTTGAAGCGGCACTAGAAAAGAAGTTAAGCAGGAATTGCAGAATCCTGGCATTTATATGGCCTCTAAACCTTGAAGATAACATGGCCTGTAGTAATCGGTGTTTAAAATGGATTTGTGTGCGGTGCAGAGAGTGTATGTGTGAATAAACACTTTTGTGAATAGTGTCTGTGCCAGTGACCTTTATACTCCCTAAACAAACATCATTAGTGATACACTTTGTCACGTTTCAGTGGTCTTGCCTGCTGTTTACAGCGAGACCTAACCTTGTTTGTTCGTGGGGTGCGGGAATCAGGAGTCCGGGGTGGGGGTGCAGACAGAAACACACGCCCAGATGCTTAGGGCAGCTTCCTGTCACCATTTCACCTGAGCGACGTGTCTGGACAGCCTTGGAATGTGGGAGGGGCCATACACAGCTGGAGGGGCAAGGCTTTGGGGCTCCGCCTCCCAATGCCCACTGCATCCAATCGTGTGCTTTCAATCTGCGAAGTTCCACTGGTTCCGTTCAGTATTTTCCTGTAAAATCATGGAATCAGAATGCTTTGGCTTTCCCTGCCAATAAAATGCTAATTGAAATGAGATGTTGAGGTACTTTTATTGATCCCCAGAGGGAAATTAGGAATGGGGAAATTGTTAGCATAGTTTTATGAGATATAATATGGTTTATTTAAGGAAAGGATGCATTTCATTTTAGGTTCAGGGAAAATGCACCAAAATTGACTTAAATTGGTGTGTTATTTTAAAGTTACATGGCCTTCCACTGAGGATGTTGTGTGTGTGTGTGTGTGTGTGTGTGTGTGTGTGTGTGTGTGTGTGTGTGTGTGTGTGTGTGTATTCAGTTTCGAAACAGAAACCCTCATCAAAACATACCTAGAAATCCAGTGTTACATGTTTTTACCCAGTGTTTTTATCCAAAGCGATGTGCATTTTTTGAGGGTCAGAATCCCCGAGGCAATTGTTGCTCGGGGGCCCAACAGTGAAGCCAATATACCGACCTGGGGATTTAAACTGACGATCTAATGATCAGGAAGATTTATCCTTCTAGTTAATTCATGTTGCTAAGATGCCGGAGGTCTGGCTTGGGACCCTCACATTTCATATAGCAGTTACCCCAGCCAAGTTATGCTTGGTTCTCCTTAGGGCCTGGGGCAGGGTCATAGTCTGGGCAGAAGTTGGACTCAGAAGTGGCTGTTCCTTACATATCAGTGGTACTCTGTGCCACCTCCGCCTGTGATTATGAGTGACTGTCACAGCTGTACGCGAGCAGATGTATGGGGGAGGCAGAGGGGGCAGGGGATTAGCTGGGGGGGGGAGCACCTGTCGAGCATGCATAAGGGTTGGTACTCTGTGTCTTAGGCCTAATTCTAAGGGTTTACTAGAAGCCGACGGGATGGATGCCGGGGATCTCCGTGGCGACCTGCCAACTCCCGAGGCCCATGCCCCCCCCCCCCCGTCTGGCTCGGGTGCCTCCTCTGAACAGGAGCAGACATTCACACCATAACACTTTCACACACACGGCGATGCGGCGGCGGCGGGATGCTCGCAGGCGGCAGGCGAGAAGGCCTGCCTTCCTGGCCGACCAGGCCTGTCTCTCTTAATCACGCCGAGCGCGGCAATAAAGAATGTTCAGTAATGAAACTAAACGAATGTCGCGTATTCTGGCATAATGTTATCTTCCTTGCGTTCACGGATATGGTTACCCTTATTCTTTGAATGTTGTAATTGGTTTTATTCCCATAGGAGGTAGTAATGTGTCGTGTTGGGCTTTTATCGTTGTCTGTTTCTGGGTTCGGCAACAGGTTCAGTATGTAGGCTTCTTCGCTCAGTTTGAAATGACCGCATCGTTAGGGTTTGGGCTGAAAGTTTGGAATGACATCGTTACTGACTGAGAGTGTCTATGAGCTGTCCGCATGCACGTCCTTCAGAGCTGGGCGTCATGTCAGGCTGCCTAAAAGTCTCTGTACATCCAGCACCCATTTTTGGCCAGTCGTTGGTGACTGAGCCCCAGAGGTTCCCTAGGTGGGGGTCACGAGTCTCTGGCGCTGCTGTTTTGGGACTGGGGGGCTGAAAAGTTTGGGAATCCGTGGCGTAGTTTAGCAGCAGCCGAATGCTTGTGATTTTTCATCTGCCTCATTTAAATAAATGTGAATGTTGCATGTAGAAAAGTGTGTATTTTATAAAGAGCAAGGAGAATGAAACAAGCTGTCTTCCCAGATTGGATGACTGTCCCCCCCCCGCACCGGACACCATGAGCACCATCTCCCCCACCGACTTCGACAGCCTGGAGATCCAGCAGCAGTATAATGACATCAACAACCGCTGGGACCTGGCATCGGAGGCTGACTGGGACAACGAGAACAGCTCGGCCCGCCTCTTCGAGCGCTCGCGGATCAAGGCCCTGGCAGGTACTCACCCACCCCCCCCCCCCCCAGCACCATTTTGTTCACATTCACCCTCACAGGGCAGTTATGAGCAGCCAAGCAGCTTTTATGTGCAGTGATTGTTACTGCAGTTTGAGGACCTAAATATTGAGACATTACAATGCATCATTTATTTTAACTAAAAATCAGAATCGGGAACATTCTGAGCACAGTGCTAGAGGAGGTGTTCCCAAATTGGGGGGGGGGGGGCGGTCACAAAATGATTTCCAGAAGTATGTTTATAAAAACTGGAAAAATGTGAAAAAAAATTTGCATAGTATCCGTAACGGGTCAATTTATGATAAATCTACTGGGGAGAGCCCTGCCCTGGTCTGCAAAATGTACCAAGGGGGAAGCCCAAACACCAACCCCCCGTCGGCAAAATGCCGAGTATCTGGCCCTTATTTTTGGCGATGTGGGCGGAAACGTTTGGCAGCCGTGTGCTAGGGGGCAGTGTCTGTTTCTGAACAAAGAAAACGACCACAGGACACAGTCAAGCAGCCTTGCTTCCCGATGCTTTCTTGTAATAATTCGTATAATTCTTTTCGCGGTATGATGCAACCTCGAAGACAGTTGGGGCGTTGGTGGTGTATCAACGCGTAACAATAATAATTACTTTCTAAGAAAACCCACGATTGATATCAAATGCATCGCATCTGTCCTGTGGAGTAACAGCTGATTTAGAGACACACCCCATGACAGCTGGGTGGCGAAAGCTCACCTCCCCCCCCCCCCCCTTCCGCACAAACGACCGCCCAGTTTCTCTCACACATGCTGGTGTTTTTGTCCTTGTCGAATTCCTCGTAGCGTGGAATTTCGAGGAAACATAACTATTAGCAAGCTTTAGCTTGTAAAACCAGTTGGTCATTGTGCAAGAGCTCAGTAAAAAATATGACTTTTATTAAAACCTTCATAATTTTATACTGGATATAAATTTTTAAGTGGGTTTGAATAAATTATATTTTAACCTCATAGATGACACTGAATTGTTAGAAACATTGGGTTGTAGTTCATATGAGCTTCCAGCAGAGGGAGACAAACCATTAAATATTTGCCCCTTTATAAATGACAAAAAAAATTGAGGCTGTACTGATGATTTAGCAGGATTATATTTAAATGGGAGTACAGACTAAAATTATACCACAGTATTTCCTGATATATTTTTGTGATGATTCATATTCCTTTTAATGAGCATTTTAACAATTCTTGTTTTTTTGTGACTTGCCAAATCAGCTCTTAAGTTAACTTGGAATGTGGGTCAGTCAATGCGGAGGTAGTAGAATCATTCTGTTATGCAATGCATTAAGTAAAATAGAGGACTTTTAAAAGTGAAATCTAACAGACTTGCTACTGCCAATCATATCTTTAATATTAATCAGTTAAGTAGTGATGGCCAAATGAAACTTCATGAACCATCTGCTGTAATTTCTGACACCACTTGGTGGTGCTATTCAGAACAATGCATGCCCCAACGCAAAACAAGAGCGCCATCTACTGGGTCAAAAAAAAAAAATACATAAAATAGTTTATGAAGCTTCATTTTGCCATCACTACAGTTAAGTATTCTGTGGTGTTCTCAACATGGTTCTCAAAATTTTTCATGGTACAGTACATACTGTGCATTCACTGCATAGTAGATGATAGAGGTAGACCATTTCACATGGTACAGTAGTTGTCAGGGATAGATTTGACCCTGCAGAATGAATAAAGTACACTAGTCGGTTCCTCTTCTGACCTTATGAATGAATGTGTTTATAGTCAATGGTAAGAATATGTTGCAAAACTGCCCCCTTTATCTTATGTAAATGTGGCTGAGTTGTGTGGTATGCTTGCTGGTTTCTGACTCCCAAATAAACTTACCACATAATCCCTGTCAGGGAGAACACTTTGAGCTAGGACAGGATTTGTGAACTACCGTTTCAACCAATAGGACCAGTATTTCACTTAAACGCCAAGTTCTTGCTGTGTGCTGATTGGTCAGTCTCCTATAATCATCTATGTGTCACTAATGTTAATGTGAAACAGCTGGATGAATCAATCAAGGACACAAACCTGTTAAAGCACAAGAATGAAACTATGCAGCCAAGCACAGGAGCCTTTCAGGTTTAAAGGACTTTGTACAGTCAGTGCCCTCCCTGACATTAAATGGGCACCCAACTCCTAAATCAGGTTAAGTCTCCAGCAGTTCCCATCTCCTTCCTGTGCTGCTCACTAAGCACAGCCTCCTGCCTGTGTTATTTGAGCTGTGGGGGCAACTGTGAACATGTCACACTCATGGAGTTTTGGCCTGAACTGTAATTCACATATTAGGGTTTGTGGGTTTCGGTCACATGTTTAACAGCATGGTTGCAAGCTTTACTTTTCAGCACCATAGCCTAACGTACATTTAATGTTTTAAGATACTTTTATTTGCAATTTGTGCAAGTATGATCACGGTTACATAGGAATTCTTTGATCTTCACATACACCATGTCTCTCCTTTAGAGATGCATATATATACAGGTGAGAGGGAAGCTTGCAGTCTGAGCGCAGGGTCAGCATTTATCTGGCCCCCTGAAATAGTTTTCAGGGTCAAGGGCCTCATTCATGGACCCAACAACAATCTACATAGATTGAGTAAAATCTCCAGCTCTATAAAAAAGTAAAGGTGTGTGTGTTTTTTTTGCGTAAAAATGGCAGCTAAACGACAATACAAAATAAACATATTCTTGCACAAACAATGTAACGACAAATTGGGCATATAATAAGAGCTGATTAAGTACTGATCCTGAATGGGGTAGGAGGTGAAGTCTTGGGAGGGTTTGACGGCAGAATGCCTGAACTTCATAGTCAGGAAGGTCCCTCATAGTCATCTGTTAGCACTCCTGACATCTAAACGGACACATCCATCCGTTTTGGCAAAAAGTCAAGCATCCCAGCAGCAGAAGAAGCCGTGCCGTGAGAGACGTTCCCCCCGTACTCTCTCTGTGATGGTATGACCCGTGGACAGGTTGAGGCTTGAAGGGCAGATTGTTAGATTGTTTGGGCCTGTTGACGGAGCCTCCCGCCGCTTCTCCTTTCACGCTCTGCATCCTCAGCCTTTTCCCGCTTTCCTGGTATAACGCCCCCCCCCCACAGCGTGTCCCCGGGGGACGAGCGTCTACACTTTCATTACCTCCGCTCTTCTCTCGTTCCTCTGCTATCTTCCCCTTTTCATTTGCCGTCCGTTTGCCCCCAAAGGCGATCTCGCTCTCAGAAAAAAGGCTCCATTCTCTGCTACATGCTCAGACTCATCGGCCCCTGAAAGATAAGCTTTTATCTCCTCGTTCGACTCGTTCTTTCGGAAATGGCCCCCATTTCGTAGCAGTCCCTCCTCAGCGTTTGAGGGGGTGGTGGGATTTCGGTTTGTTGTGCCCGTTCTTGTTCTCCACTCTGGGGCCTCGTTTATGAGGTCAGGGGGCAGAATGGATCAGGGCAGAGCCCCCCCCCGGGGGGGAAGACATTAACGCCGGCCTTAAAGTGTGAGCGCAACAGTTTATTAGAAGTACGGCTCATCAGAGAGGAATTTCCACACATGGATGCTTTGACACACCTGGTGCATGTGTGTGCGTGAGAATGCTTAAGGGGGGGGGGGAGGTTAGGGTTAGGGCTGGATGGGGGGTAAGTATGTATACAGGCAGTGCCCGGCTTACGAACCAGATCTGGTCCCAAAGTCTGTCTTTAAGTTAAATTTTTAGGAACAAGTACATACGGTTCTTATTTAGCATCAATTACTGCAATGATTATCTCAGTATGCAGTATATATTTTACCTTTCTGTGCATATAAAACACTTCCAAACACACTAAAGCCTGTAAAACATAATACAGTTCATAAAAATACAGTAATAATAAAAGTAATTGCATACAGTGCTGTGCTGAAGAGAAAGAAAGAGAATCTGTGTGTGTAGGTACACAGTACTGTAAAACAAATGATGTTTTGCATACTTGAAGAGACTTTCGTGAAGTTGTATTATAACACATTTTATTGCAGACTTTCATTTTCTCCTGCATCATGCAGGAGAACATGATGTGACAAAGTAGTGAGTGCGTTTGACATTATGAACCATTCTGTTTAACTCAAATATTTAATATAATAGGCTTTATGGCAGCCGAATTGTAAGTACGTGTTGTTCGTAAGTCGGACATTCTGAACTGCGCCAGCATGAATCACGTTCGGCGTCCTTTTTAGGACCGTTCACTCACTGGTTGAAGGCGGGGGCTCTGTTGGCGTCTCCATGAAACAGAAGGTTTGCTGGGTTTGAGAACGTCCCAAACATCTCGCTCCCACAGTGAGGAGCTCCGTGGGAGTTTTGGGAATGCTGGGAAATTTTTCACTCGCTCACATCATTCCGGATTTTCCCGTAACTGGGCCCTCACTTTGAACCCCCCCCACCCCCTACTCACTTACCCTAAACCGTGTAATCTGTTCATTTTGTTCCCCCCTCATTTCATATTCTTGTCTTTGCTGTCATCTCGTCCATATCCTCCTATCCCTGCTTACCTGAGCTGAAATGTCACGCTGTGCTTTCGCTGGTTGTGTTGCACCCCTTAAGGAAGGACCTGTTCTTCTCGTAAAGCAGTTCTAACCTTCTGCCACTAGGCAGCATTCGGCCTAATAAATAATGCTCGTTAACTGGAAACTGCTGAAACCTCGAGGCCCAGTGCAGAGGCACCAGAAGCCTGCAGTTTGCAGCTACAATCATGTATCCTGTGATTACATTAATTCATTTAGCACACGCTTTTATCACAAGTGACGGACAATTTTTTTGCAAAACCAGGGCCAAACAGTCCCTGGAGCAACTGGAGGTGAAGAAATCACTCTGCCAACCTTAGAAAGGTGGCCGGTTCAAATCCTATCACAGGCACTGCATCCCAACCCACTGCAGATATGAAAAGCTCAACATTTATACATTTTTCCCGAAGTACCGTATTCCAGGAGTATTAGGTATGGGGGATTCAGAAGCTACAACCGCATGCTTGCTAAGAGAAGCCAAAACGAGAAGAGATAAAAGGAAGTCCAAGGTTTCAGAAGAAAGGATGATTCGGTTAAGTGCAGTGGAAGCTGCGGATCTATGAATGACCACTTAAAATGAAATGGCGAGGATGAGGCTAGCCTAGCCGGTGAGGCTACTGCCTCTAAAGCTAGCGAACAGCCCGCACTGCGTCAAAAGAACCAAGAAAATAAGCTTAATCTGGACAGAGACAATAAGACACATTGTTATTTCCTTCCTTCGTCCGTAAGCTGCACAGAAAGCAACAGTTAACTCAATTGTGGAATCCTTACTAGTTTTAGCCGCTTAGCAAAATTTTTCTGAGCGCTAGTCGCTGAAGTCGCTGATGTGTTTCATTGACCTGCCGGAACCATGTGTTTGCATATATTCAAAATACATTTTACACACGCGATGGGATCAGAATGGGCACTGTTTATGCACAGCATGGCATTGTTCTCAGTTTGTTTGAATCTTGGCCTTATTTGCTGTTAACTGATCGTGTAGTGTGTCATTAAACAAGAGCGTGCTTGGTAAATAGTGCTGTAGCTGTTTTAATTAATTTCGGGCCGCAGTGGGAGCTCCACCCTGAATATTTGTACTTAAAGAGCACTGGTGTGCATGCCGCGCCGTCGTGTCCCGGGGGGTGATTCCTCAAGGAGAATTAGCAGGAATGTGTGAATCTGAAAGCTGCAGTTCTTGCGACAGACACTAGATGTCCTCTGAGTCGGCCTTTGGCCCATGGCCACTTGTGCAAATCCTGTTGCTGCACGTGCTCCAAGTCTTGTCAGGGAGTCCAGTCCATGCCTATCATTTTTAGCTTGTGGGGGGTGGGGGGGGGGACGGTCTGCCTGAGTCTGTGTGTCTGAATATATGAGGGAGGTATTTACTCTGACTATTTACTTTAATTGCTTGTGGATGAGCCATTCGAATAACAAAGGTTACAGCCATTCAGGGGTCTTTACATGCCTTTGCTGGCGACGGTCTTTGTGGCTTGCTGACTCCCAGCTTGAGCGGAGATGGGGAGTCTGCCATTACAGCGGGGCCCTGGCCTCCAGAGCTGCTTCTGAGCTGGTGCTGAAGCCCTCGTGCCATCTGCAAAGACTTCCTTCCTACTCCAGCAAAACTCTTTGATGTCCCACAGAGGGGGCGGAAGACAGAGAGAGAGAAAGAAAAAACTTTTTTTTTTTTCTTTCCGTACACAGCTCAACGCCCCGGCCTGTATTAGTGTTGCTTGCGGAACCAACCCCTTGGTTTGTGGCGTGACACCTTTCGGAATGGCCCCGCCCAGCCCTGCCCCCGACTCTCCCCCAGGCTCACCTTATGCTAATGGGTCAGCTCGAATAGACAAGGGAGGGGCGTGGTTTGTGCAGCCGGCTGCCTGAGCTGAACTGGGACAAGCCGCTCTGCGTATTCAAACAAGGCGTGTGTGCATCTCTGTGTGTGCATGAGTGTGCGCGCGTGTTATTCCGAGCAGACCGAGAGGGCGAAGGCGCTCGTGGCTTTCGTGGCGGAGGGAGGTTTGAGAAGGAAGAAGGAGAGGGAGGCATTCCTCCTGGAAGTTTTGGATTTTTTCCTCCAGGGATTGAGCAGCACTTTTAAAAAAAAAAAAACAAAAAAAAAAGTAGAGAGTGAGAGAAGAAAAGACCAGCAAAGGAGAGGAAGGAGGACGTCGCTGAAGGAGGGAGGGAGGGTTTGGTCATGTTTGCCATTTCGCAGGCAGCGGAGATCTGATATCTGTGGAGTTGCGCTCCTCCACGTGGTGGGGGCGGCCGAAGCAGAGCATTGCATCCAGACCGCGTGGAGAAGGCTTCGCGTTGACCTCGGGGGCCACAGTTGCTGCCCACGGAGGCATGTGGAGCCGTGCATTCGGGACCTGCAGAGTACAGCGGGCCGTCCCACACCTGTAGATCTTTGGGAGGTAGACCAAAAAGAAAAACAAGCTTAGAGAAGAAGGGAAAGTAGCAGGCGAAGGTGTGGCGCAGCGAGTCTGGTTGACGGGGGAGAGTGGAGATGGAGTTCGAGCGGAAGCCCAGCGAGTCCTGCCTGTCGCCGGCCGCCTTCATCAACCAGGCGCAGTACTCCAACATCCTGGAGGGCAGGTTCAAGCAGCTGCAAGGTGAGTGTGCGGCCGGGCGCGGAGAACACGCGCGGGATCCACAGGAGGACGGGGGTGGGGAAGTGGGATTGATCTCAGGCCGCCGGATCGAGGAGTCGCGGGTTTTATCAGCCGAAGCAGGAAGACACTGAGGTTTTGGCAAAAGGAAGATAAAGCGTTCGCCCAAAGGCCAAGCGCGGAAACCATTTGCATTACATCTTATCGTCCCTGTCCTGGTACCATGACTGTATTGTTTCACCCACTGTACTGATTTGTTTGTACTAAACCCTCATACTTGTGCGCAGAGTGAATTTTTGTGTCACTTGTGACGTTTATGGCAGGTATTTTGGCTACTTGTCGGTTTTTTGGGTACAGAGAATGTAGGCACGTTTTGGGCAGTCTGGGGCGACATTGGTGGTGTTTTTCTCGGTGTAGCAAACAGGCCACATTGGCCGTGTAGTTTGGCGGGGTGGGTCACACCAACGGAGAGTGTGTGTGTGTGTGCGCGCCAATGTGTTTTTTTTTTCTTTTCTTCAAGTGGGTGTTTGTGGACTTGTTAGAGTTTGATCTTAACCCCGGTGTTGGGTTGAGGCCTGTCCAAGCAGCATTTAAAAAAAAAAAAAAAAAAAAAAGCCACGTTGAAAGCCGTCTGCCCCGAGTTGTGTTGTAAATTAACCTTTGGTCTTGTCACACTATGCACATTTTCAAAAAATGCATTTTTCTGAATTTGGGTTTGGCTTCTGTATCCATTGGATCTCTTGTATAGCTTTACGCTTTTAGCAATTAACAGAAAGTGTTTGTTTATATATTTACACACGCATCAGTTCTTATTGTGACTTTTGTCAAAGGCAGATTTTTTTTAAAAGAGTCTTGTCTTCAGCAAACGTTGATCGCCTGGGGCTTTTGAGTCAGATTAGACTGATTTAATATGTTTAATGATGAGTTTCTGTTCATTAAATTCAGCTTAATGGCGGCATATATTTCTCCTGACGGCAGGACGCTGAGCGCAGCGTCTGGGTTCCCCTGTGACCACTCTGGTTAGTTATAGGGTAAGTCAAAGGGCAGGAGCACTGGGTGATGAAACTGCGTGTCGTGTTCACTAAAAAATATTTGCAGTCTCTGTCAGGGGGTGGGGGATGGGGGGGGGCAGCATACCACAAGGTAATTTGCAGTGTAATTCTTCTGTGGGTCATTTCTTACCTCCAGTCGCAAAGGATGGTGTCTTGGGCAGAAATGATAGATTTTTCTGTCTTGTGAAGCTTTGAAGTGCTTCAGCGATGTTGTAACTTCTTATTTCTGTCAAGCGTCCTTTACGATGGGGGGGGTGTCCGCTTGCATACTTTTTGGTACTTCAGTACTTTGGGATGAGACTTGCAAACACTTTCTCTGTCGACTGGTTATGCAAATAGCCTAATTCAAAAACACGATACAAACGCCATCTTGAAACAAGTTACAAACACATAGAGCAACGATAAATGCATGAAAAAAATGAAAGTAATAATAAAGGATATGTGGATAAATGTAGAGATTCAAGCTTAAATTGCGAAATTAAATTTAAGTGGTCGGAAGAACAGATGATCAACTGTTGCAAAGTGATTTTGTTGTAATAAATATTGGGGTATTTATAAAGCAAAAAATAAGTTCAACATGAATTTCTCACAAACCTGTCTAGGAGTGATTTATACCAGCAGAATGCATGCAGCGCTCATGCAAAAGCAGCAGAGGTAAACTTTAATGTTATTTAAAAAAAAAAAAAAAAAACATATACTAGATAATCATGATAATCATTAAAACTGCAAAACAAGTTTTTTTTTTTTTTGTCCTATGACAGAGAGTAAAAATGTTTTAGCTAAACTTAAGCTCCCTGAACTATAAAATCCGTACCGAATTGAAGGTCAGAAAACGCCTGATCTTAATCTAGCTGACTAGTGATCTAAGAATTGCACATGTATAACATGAGATGTTGGTGTCAATATTGCACATCCTGCCCTATAATACACTACAGGCATTTTTCAAATTCAGTACAAAATACCTTGCCTTGTGTTGTGATGTCATTCAGCACCGGTACCAGTTTCTACACCAGTGGAAAACCAACACCTTGAAGTACCATACTTTGGTACTATCTTGAAGTATCAAAAGTACAGTACCTGTTGCAGTGGAAAAGGGCCCTTTGTTTAAGAGCCCAACTTGCAATTGGCTACTTTAACGTCATTTTACACTCCAGCCAATTGCCACACCATATTCCTCCCTTCTCCCAATGGCCATGCTGATATACAGCGTCCTGCACAATTATTGGCACCCCTTGTAAAGATTTGTAAAAAGGGTTAGAAAAAAAATTACCTTTGAGTGAAGTAGTTTTATCTCACACTGAAAAATGAGAAAAATCCAACCTTTCTTTGAAATAAATTTATTCAAATAAAAACAAATCCTTCATCAAGAAATAATTATTTTTATCAAAACCATTTGTGCCCCTGCATTTAATGCTTTGTACAGCCTCCCTTTGTCAGTATAACAGCACTGAATCTTCTCCTATAACATTTTATAAGGTTGGATAAATACCAAGCAAGGCATCTGAGCCCATTCCTCTTTACAGAATCTCTCCAGATCACCCAGGGTCCGAGGCCCTCTTCTGCACTCTCCTCTTCAGCTCCGCCCACAGGTTTTCAGTGGGGTTCAGGTCAGGGGACTGAGATGGCCATGGCAGAAGCTTGATTCTGCGGTCAGCTAACCATCTTTGTGTTGATTTGGACATGTGCTTAGGATCACCGTCCTGCTGGAAGATCCAATGAAGGCCCAGTTTCAGTTTTCTGGCGCAGGTAGCAAAATTTTGATTTAAAATGTCCTGGCATTTCATGGAGTCCATAATGCCATGTACCCTAACAAGGTTTCCAGGGCCTTTGGAGGAAAAACAGCCCCACAACATCACAGAACCTCCACCACATTTTAGTTGGGATAAGGCTCTTTTTACTACAGTCATCCTCCTTTTTACACCAAACCCACTTAGAATGTTTATTACCAAAAAGCTCCATTTTTGTGTAATCAGACCATTGAATTTTGGTTCCAGCCAAAGTTGTAGTAGTCTTTCGCAAACTCCAGGTGTTAACCACAAACGTAAACTGACAAAAAAAAGCTTTTTTTTGGCATACCATCCAAATAATCCGTTAGCATGAAGGTGGCGTCTGATGGTTTTTTCGGAGATGTGGTAACCCCAAGATTTTACTTTATCTTGTAATTCACCACCAGTGATCCTTGGGGATTTCTTGCCTCTCTTACAGTCTTCCTCACTGTATGTGGGAGAAAAATAAACTTGGGTCCTCCTTCAGTCAGGTTTGTAACAGTTCCAGTTGTTGTCCACTTTTTTTTATTATTTCCCTAACAGTAGAAATTGGCATTTTCAGGCGAGTAGCTATTTTTCATACCCTTTCAATTCTCCTTCATTTGGTTTGTTTGTTCTCTTATCTTTCCCATGTTGATGGGTGACTAAGGGAATTTGGGCTCTGTGTCACCGCATGTTTGTACCCCAGTTAATCAGGACGTCGTGGATGACAGCTTGAAGGTTCCTATTCACTCCAGTCAACTTAAAGATGTACAATTTACAGGGGAAACATGCTTCAGTTACACTGTGTTCACTATCATTTCCAGGGGTGCCAATAATCGTGGCACATGTGTTTTTGTTAAAAATACTTATTTGTTTTTCTTTGAATAAATTTAAATTAAAAGAAAGGTTGGATTTTTCTATTTTTTTCAGTGCATGAGATGAAGCTACAGCACTGAAAGGTAGATTTTTTTTTTTTCTAACCCTTTTTACAAATCTTTACAAGGGGTGCCAATAATTGTGGAGGGTGCTGTAAATACTAACTACAGATGAGTACATCTACTGTTTTTCTGAGGGGGAGCAGTGACCTCATTAGCAAGACTTGTGTCCAGCACGACTTTTATTGACTGCTGTGACTCCCCTGCTCAGAACGATCGATTTCAGTTTCGCTCGAATGCACTGTTTTGAAGTGGTTCCCAAAAAGGTTTCTGGCTGGATGCTTTTAGACATCAGCAGAACATCTGGTTGTTTTCCAGATGTGGATTCTGCACCTTTTGGGTGACACAGGCTTTGGGTCAGTTCTTCATGCTCATGATTAAATGCAGCAGGCCAATGGGTGAATGACCCCCATCAGAGGTGAAGTGGGAAAAGGTTGAAAACACAGTTTCATTATAGATGGATATAGTGATAGCAAAGTTCAGACGATAACGATGGAAATTATAGTCATCTGATTACTACTTATTATTGTTCACCTTTTACCTGTATTGGATAAGTGGTTATGGAATAATGCTTGTTTTATTAAGCCAGTGTTGCCCAATCTGGACCGACTGTGGGTCCCCAAGAACTGGATTGGGCAGCACTGTTATAAGCAGTTATCCAGCACAGGGTCACAGTGAGCTTGGGGCCCTTTCCTTGTAGGATAGACACAAACAATCGCACTGTAATGGGAAATGTAGAAAGGTACCCCCCCCCCAACCCTGGAGGTATGAGATAACAGTGATTATGTCACCTAGTCACTATAATAATTAGCCATTTATCCTCTAAATACTTACCCTTCTTAGGGCTGTCGATCAACTTTTGTTTGTTTGTCTGTTGGCTTATGATATTAAATCAGAAGTGTTCACTGACTGCCCAGTTCCCATGTGGATCAAATCTTAACCCCCCCCCTTCCTCCCTGCTCAGTAACTGAGTTCCACAGAAATTATGAGCGGTCACGTGCTACAGTGCTCTTGTACGTCCCTGACGCCCCCCCCTGATAACTAGGTGCTGCTGGGGCTCCACGTTCCTATGGCTCCAGCTATCTGGACCTCATGGTGGGGATATTGCGACAGCGGCGGGTTCAGCGGCAGGGCGATCTCTGCTCGGGCTTCCTGTCTGACCCCCATGCAAGCAGTCCTCTCCAATACCAGCGGGAGGGGGGGAGATAAGCCAGGAGCATAGGGGCAAAACCCAGCTCTGCGGTGGGCCTGACTCAGCACGGGGCGGA